TAGGATGGGAAAGTGGACTGCCTTCGCTAGGAGGTCAGGGTGTTAAAGAGATGTTTCTGGTGTGTTGTTTTTTTACAAAGTCAAATTAAGAACACTCAAATGCGTTTCAAGAAAATGCAAGTCAATCCCACTGAGCCAAATGGGCTCTTGTTCTGTCCCTTGAGCTAATTCTTGAAGGTGCGCTAATCTCGCCAGGAACAGAGTTGGATTTACACAGGTCAAGAGTTAAGGAATTTAATACCCGATTTATTTAATATTTAATCTACACACATAATAAAAGTGAAAATATGTATATGTGTGGGTGGCGGGGGTATCCACTTACACAAACAGCTATAGCTCCACCACTCAGGAGACACCAAAGGCCCTCCCTCCATTGACACTGCAGGTTAGAGAGAGAGCCATGAACATGTCCAAGAACCCTGCCAATGTCCTCCCCAAATGCCATACTACCTACCACCCAAGTGAAGGCTTTCATATGGGGACTATTTCATTTTAGATTTCATGCGGTTCCTCCACCACAGGCATCCCAGTGTTCCTTACTCTCTCCATTGGTGTGGAATTTGCATGACCCGTCCACTGCCTCTCCCTTAACCCTTTTCTATTCTGTTCTATGGCACAGCAGAGGAATTCATCAGGAACTGAATATACTAGAAGGGTTTGGGGAGAATTCACCATGATTTATAGGAGTTGTAGGTCCTGGGATGTATAGTTCACCCGCAATCCAAGAGCTCTCTGAACTCCACCAACGATGGGCCTGGAACTAATTTGGCACACTAACAAATGACCAACAAAACATACTGGAGGGATTTAAAGGAGTTATAGTTCACCTATATCCAAAGTGCACTATGAGCTGAAACATTGATGGATCTGGACCAAACTTGGCATGCATACCCGATATGCCCACATTTGAACACTGGTGGGTTTTGAGGGGAATTGGTCTGGACGTTTTGGAGTTGTAGGTACTGGGATGTGTAGTTCATTTGCAATCAGTGAGCACCCCGAACTTCACCAAAGATGGAATTGGTCCAAACTTGGCATACAGAGCCCCCATGACCAGCTAAAAATACTGGAGATCTTTGGGGGAAATTCACCTTGATTTGCGGGAATTGTAGTTCACCTACATCCAGAGAGCACTGGGAACCCAAACACCAATGAATCTGGACTAGACTAGGCACACAGACCTGAAATGTTGAAATTTGATTACTGGAGGGTTTTTTTTGGGGGTTGGGGGGAACTGACCTTCCTTTCAGGGAGTTGTAGTTCATCCACAACCAGAGAATCTGTCACCTCCACCGATGATGGACCCAGACCAAACTTGGCACACGGAACCCCCATGAGTAACTCAACCTACTGGAGAGGTTAGAGGGGACTGACTCACCATAGTGAGAGTTGTAGTTTACCCTTCAGCCAGTGAGCACACTAAACCTCACCAATTATGCAGTTATAGTTCACCCATAACCAGGGAAACTGGGACCCAATAGCCTTCCAGTTGTTCTAAGGCCAAATACAGTTATGAAGAATCATTTTTAAGGTTTCCATAGTGTTTTGATTTGCGGATGTTGTCAGTTTTCTTTCTTTTCTCCATAGGTGACGCTGCCAGGCGAGGTGATGGACGTGGCATGTGGCGTAGACCACATGGTGGCTCTGGCGAAGTCTTTTATTTAGGCTCGAGACTAAAGAGCCACACAAAACCGCACCATTTCTCTTGGCAATTTTGCATCAAGACTGTCTTTATTGCTGGAACACTCTGCTAGGAAATCCAAAGCGGGCACGGCTTCCTCAGAATCATTGCCACACGAGACCTTTTCGTTGGGGGAGAATCAAGTTATCTTCAGTGTTGCAAGTGGTTGGCGAGGCCAGACTGTGCAGTACTCTTTTTGGGGGGTTCAAAACAAAATGGAATATTGTTTATGTGTTAAATATTCTAAGAGAAAAAGATACATATTTGTCTGGACAAATATTGGACAATCTTTCTATTAAAAAAGGCAAAAGTGTATATGTGTATGAGGGGCTCAGGATTTGTAGTTCACCTACAATCCACAAGCATTCTGAACTCCACCAATGATGGAATTGAACCAGTCTTGGCCACACAGAACCCCTATGACCAAACAGAAAGTACTGGAAGTGTTTGGTGGGTATTGACCTTGAGTTTTGGAGTTGTAGTTCACCTACATTCAGAGATGTTGGTGAACTACAACTCAGTATGTCCAAACGTGAATGCTGATGGATTTTGGGGAAAATAGACGTTGACATTTGGGAGTTGTAGTTGCTGGGATTTATAGTTCATCTACAATCCAAGAGCATTCTCAATTCCACCAACGATGGAATTGAACTGAACTTGGCACACTGAACTCCCACGACCAACAGAAAATACTGGACAGGTTTGGTGAGTATTGACCTTGAGTTTTGGAGTTGTAGTTCACTTATATCCAGAGAACACTGTGGACTCAAATAATGATGGATCTGGACCAAGCTTGGTAGAGATACTCAATATGCACAAATGTGAACACTGGTGGAGTTTGAGGAAAATAGACCTTGACATTTGGGAGTTGTAGCTGCTGGGATTTCTAGTTCACCTACAATTGAGAACGTTCTGAACCCTACCAACGATAGGATTGGGCCAAACTTCCCACACAGAATCCCCCTGCCTTGAAGGGACACTCTGGTGCAAGCCTCCCTCCAGCCTCACCTGCTCTCACCTCCCCGTGTGGAGTCTCAAACAGCCCTCCCCTTGGCTGAGAGGCCAGCCAATCACAGGAGGAGGAGGGCTTTTGATGGGAGGATTCGCCATCCGTTTCCAAAAAGAGTAGGGCAAGCGGAGAAATCTTCAGCCTTCTCTGCCAAAGGGATTCCTAAGACCATCAGAAATATGGTCTGAAACAACCTTGTGACCCCCATGTTGAGAAACACTGCTCTATAGGTTACATGTGACCTATAGAGATGTATATCATTAAACGTGCAGTTTCAGCATCCTGTGATAAATAGAAGTGGGTCAGGGGAAATCTTTAATGAATGCCCCCCCTCGTATGCACTAGCAAAGGGAATTAAGTTTGAACAGGGGGTGATAAGGAAATATGGAATGGGCAGGTAGAAAGGAGAGAATTTTGGCTCCAGGTGTATTTGAGGACGAAGTTTCATGTTTTGGTGAATGGAATCCCCTCAAAGGGATCGAGGAAAAAAGGAAATGGTTTTCCCCATGGCAGACCAGAAAGAAAAGAGACAGACCGCAACACTTCGTTAAACTTCGTAGCAAAGATGTATTGGGTGAACTGCAGAGGGCTCTCTTAGAGGCAAACCGTCGCAGCAACAGAGAGGAGGGTTTCGTACATAGAAACGTCCAGCAGGTGTTGCTTCGATCACAATATCCGTAACTCGTTAGGTCCGAAGAGCAACGTCCGACAACAACAACAACAAAAAAAAACCCCTGAAGGATCCAGTTTGCTTCCAAGGAGGAGATGTGGGTTCAGAGAAGTCTCCCTCCAAGAGACTTTTCTGGTGCTATGAAGAAGTAGCCTAACAGAACAAGAATACAACTTTGTACCAGGATGGATTACTTCTCCCTCTGCGATCAGTATCTGCACTACTCATCGTATTGCTTTTGGGTCCTTTCTGCATAAATCCTATTGCTAAGCCCTGCCTGGAGCAGAAGTAACTCAAGACTTAGGAGTAAATCCCATTCATTGAAAAAGGCTGCAAAATAGAACCCAGCGCTTAAGCTGTGTTGGCAGGGTGGACGTTAAAAGGGATGCTGTGCCTGTGGGGTGCATCTGCACTGTCGAATTGATGTGGTTTGATCCCACCTGGCTCAATGCTACCGTATCCTGGGATTTGTGATGTGGGAAGGCACCAATGCTCTTTGGGCCTTACAAAACCATAACTCCCATGATGCCTTCGTGTTGGTGGGATCAGTCCACATCCGTTCAACTATGTAGACCAGGCACAGGCAAGCTTCAGCCCTCCAGGTGGTTTTGCTTCAACTCCCACAATTCCTAACAGCCTACCGGCTATTTTGAAAGGCGGGGAGAAATATATGTCAGGATCATCAGCATACCAATGCCACTGCACCCCATGTCTCTGAATCAAGCATGGGCAAACTTTGGCTCTCCAGGTGTATTGGACTTCAATTCCCACAATTCTGGTAGGCTGTTAGGAGTTGAAATCCAAAACACTTGGAGAGCTGAAGTTTGCCTGTGCCTGGTGTAGACTCAGCTCATTTTGTCTTGCTAACTGGCGGAGATTAATGCTCTGTCAATAGGCCAATTGGATTTCGCCCAGGGTCCAAATATATGGCATAGCTATACCCTCACCTCCTGTTATTCGTTCCAGATATCAAACGAGAGCTTGCCTCAACCTGGAAGTAGGAGAGGCTGAAACAATCAGAAACTGCTCAGGATGAAAACGCCTCATGGACAGATCTTTCAATTCGGGTCTAAGAAAAGCCTAGAATTCTAAACCAGCTTCAAATCCTGGCTTGTTAGAGAGAAAAAATATGAGTCTCAAGACTAGACGTAAAGCGTAACCATTTGCCGCTCCGGCAAGCTTCTTGGTTACGGTTGTCATTGATATTTGGAAGTGCCGTGACCATCTTGCTACGACACTCGTTTCCTAACTAGATTCTCAACCATTTTTGAAGTACAGTAGAGTCTCACTTATACAACCTTTGTTTATCCGACTTTCCATTTTATCCGACGCTCTTATCCAACACCTTCTTTTCCTCCAGCATTTCCCCTTCAATTAAAGGACTGCTCCCCAACTCTCTCCATTCCCAATAAGTGAAAAAGATGAAGAGGAGAGAAGAAAGGGGGAAAAGAGGCAAAAATGAAATCAGAAGCATCCTTCCTCCTTCCCTCTGTTATTTCCACGCTCCTCTTCCACATCTGGGCACTTCCTGCTGGGCCGCTTTAGCCCCAAGGCATTGCCTTGCCTTAACCCTTGAGTCCCTGTTGTTTGTATTCTAGGTGTCTAGCACCTTGTCGGATGGGTAACAGGAGGAGACTCCGTATCATCCAACATTTTTGTTTATTTGATGTTCTGCCGGCCCATTTATGTCGGATAAGTGAGACTCTACTGTATTATTTAAAAAACACCTGAAAGTAGTCACATCACAGCTCTCTTGCACTTCCCTCTCTAAGGGTTCTCTCTTACCTTCTTGAAAGCAGCTATGGATAATTCCTTACTGTGCAATTTCTCTGCGAGCTTGAGTTGCTGACCTAATACCTAAAGTCCTGTTAGTTACTATTAGTGTTTCTGTCATCCACCTGATTCCAGAAGATGCCTAAACATCTATCAAAGCAACGGAACATTTTTGAGTTCATGGCAAAAAAGAAAAAGACCAAGAAGGCAGCAGGTTGAGAACCGTTGCAGCAGCTGGTGGGAAAGTGCCGTCTCGTTCCACACGAAACAAAGGTTTAAAAAGCTACAGGACTTGTTTGTCTAGCCAGCAGTCTTTTGTTTCTCGTTTTCTTCGCGATACAGCCGCCTTCCTCCCAGGCTTTCTTTGGAGTAATTAATAATCATAATACAAAAATCATCCCCATCCCCCATCCTGCAAATACTGAGAATATTTTTCTTTTCTTGTGGAAAAATGCACCCGGGCCCCACTCGGAAATGGCTTCTAATCCTTTTCAGCCTGACTAAGTTGGAGCGCATTGATAACACCGTTGATATTTTCTTCTGGGACCTGCGCAAGAAAACAAAACAACATCAAAACGTTACGAGGCTCATTGTGTAAAGACATTGGCACATATCTGCAAAGGAGTAACAGCTCTTATTGCAGCTCTCTACAACAGGGGTCCTCAAACTTTTTAAACAGAGGGCCAGGTCATAGTCCCTCAAACTGTTGGAGGGCTGGATTATAATGTGAAAAAAACATGAATGAATTCCTATGCACACTGCACAGATCTTATTTGTAGTGCAAAAAACACTTAAAAACAATGCAATAATTAAAATGAAGAACAATTTTAACAAATATAAACTTATTAGTATTTCAATGTGAAGTATGGGCCTGCTTATGGCTGATGAGATAGGATTGTTGTTGTTATTGTGTAGTTTCACGTCATTTCAGACTTAGGTTGACCCTGAGCAAGGGCCGGGTAAATGACCTTGGAGGGCTGTATCCGGACCTCGGGCATTAGTTTGGAGACCCCTGCTCTACGATTCTTCATCAAATTACTAACCCAGTTACATATTATTGGCATCACAATAGTATGCCCAACAAGAGGAAACCCTTTGAATCTACGAGGTTTCTTCATGTTTCAATTCGCGGTTCAACAATGAAGTTAGTGGCTCGACTCCAAGTAGGGTGAGCAGGTCCTGGGTGGAATCGATCCATTGAAAGCAATGGCTGTTGGTGCCTTATTACAGAGTTAAATCAAGTAGTCTTGTTCATCAAATTGAGCACAGAAGGTTGCATGATTTCTGTCAAGAATAGGGGCACCAAATTAATGAGATTCACCCTATAGAGTCTCACTTATCCGACAATCCGTCTTATCCAATACCCCCCTTTTCCTCCAGCATTTCCCCTTCAATGAAAGGAGCGCTCCCCAATTCCCTCGTGGACGGATCAAAAGACAACCTGGCAAAATGGCACTACTTAAAAGAATCCCACACCTTGTGTGACTGTGGAGCAGAACAGACAACTCCGCATCTGTATGCTTGCCCACTGTGCCCTGCCTCATGTATAGAGGAAGAATTGTTGGAGGCTACAGACAATGCCATTACTGTTGCCCGTTTTTGGTCAAGAGATATTTAGCTGCCTGCGCTCCTTCTATTGTTATCAGTTTTATACTAATTTATGCAATGCTTTTGATACGAAATAAATAAAGGTGTCTAGCACTGCATCAGGCGGGTAACAATAGGAAACTCCGTATTATCCGATGTTTTTGTTTATCTGACGTTCTGCCAGCCTGTTTATGTTGGATGAGCGAGACTCTACTACAGGGGTCTTTAAACTAAGGCCCAGGGGCCGAATACAGCCCTCCAAGGTCATTTACCCGGCTCTCGCTCAGGGTCAACCTAAGTCTGAAATGACTTGAAAGCACACAACAACAACAACAGCAACAACCCTATCTCATTAGCCAAAAGCAGGCCCACACTTTCAGTTGAAATACTAATAAGTTTATTAGTATTTCAACAAGAATTCATATTTTTTTTAAATTATAATCCAGCTCTCCCAACAGTTTGAGGGACTGTAACCTGGCCCTCTGTTTAAAACATTTGAGGACCCCTTCTCTACTGTATTCTCATGTAGAAGACCACAAATTTTAGTTGAAAAACAACCCCGCAAAATGTGAGTCAACCTATCCATGGGCCAAAATGAATATTGTACCTTACACATGATCAAAATAGAGTGACAAAAGGATGAGAGCTTTTTCCATCACCTCAAAAAAGGACTGATCCCGTATGCTTGTATATGAGGTCGGCTATACATGTGTAAATATGGTAGGTTTAGTGCGGACTTAAATTCAACAACAGATCTCCTCTAGGTGGATTAGATTCAGTTTCATTGGGCGAGACTGATTAGATCCAAGCACAACATGTCAAGGAGAAGTACTGTATAGACTGGTGTATCGGTCAAGACAAATGATGGATTTCGATGACGACTAATGCGGGAAGTTGAGAGCTATTTATACATGAGTATATTGGGTGAGTTTCCCCCAGGATGAGCTTCCCTTCACCTCCAGATAAGGATTTTCCCCATCTGACCGAAGCAGGTGTTATCATCACCGGAGTGAGAAATAGGCCAGTGCGCTAGCTTTCAGACAGGCGTTGATGGACTTATCTTATCAGCAGGGTAAATGTTCAACAAAATAAACCCAACGGAGCTGAACGTCTGACCTTTGCTATCTGAGATGGTGTTGATTTTGGACCACAGTATACACATTAGGCTGAGAAAGAGGGCAACGCAAAGCACAAAAAGGCTTAAGTGCATAGAGGAGGGTTTGCGTGGGGTTGCCGCATGGGCTTTTAGTGGGTGAAGAGGTCAGAAAAGACATGTAGATGTCTCACAACAGTAATGGAAACCATTATGGGGATTGAAAGGGAGGGATACTCTTTGTAAGGTGCTACCATTTGATGATGCACACACAAAAAACATGGCCGGTAGGTGGGCTGAATTTATTTAGAAATGAATTATTTTTGTGAGATTATGAGAATAAATTATTTTAGGAGCTCAACAGACCTTGGGATCTAAGACTCCTTCCCACCAGAATAGAGAATGTTAGACCAGGATTAAGTCTCAGGCCACTTGCGATGACTTACCAGCGCATGGTCGAACTTAAAAGTACTAATGTAATAAGCCGGGATGTCAGCCGCCGCCAAAGGTTCCGAAATTTGGGCCACGATTCCACATTCGTCTGAAAGGACAAAAGGGATGAACTCATTAAAACTGAACGTGAAAGATCTGGACATATGGATGGTTCCCCTGGTAAGCCTCACTGGCTAAGAATATTGAATGAAACTGCCATTTATACATGTCCCAAGGATTATAACTCTTATATATATATATACATATATATAAAAACACACACATACATATATACATACACACAGCTTGTCTGTGTAAGTAGACACCACAGCCACACATGCATATTTTCACTTTTATTATGCATATAAATATACATTCACACATTATTATTATTATTATTATTATTATTATTATTATTATTATTATTAACACAACAAGATTAGTACACAGCAAACAAGATCACTCTGCTGGCTGTTGTATTGGATATTAGATCACACTTTGGACCCTTCCCAAGTGTCTAGGACTGTGTGATGTATCCTAGACACTTGGGAAGTGTCTGACGTGTGATCCAATACAACAGCCAGCATAGCGATTTTGTTTGCTATGTACCAATCTTGTTGTGTTTCAAATATTATTTTATTTTATAAAATCTTGTTGTGTTTCAAATAGTAATAGTAATTTTTACTATTATGTGTGAATGTATTATCTATACACATAATAAAAGTGAAAATATGTAAAATTATTATTATTATTATTATTATTATTATTATTATTATTATTATTTTGATGGGACAACTGACAGGGCAGGATCTCGACTGCCATCAACGTACCAAAGCCAAGGGGCTGCCCTCCGATGCGGACCATCTTCCAGAGCTCTCCAGATGCACTTGTAAACAACAGATTATTAGGAAATCTGAAAGAGATACACACACAGAATGAAAGAACAAGATCTATCCTAACACTGTGTTTAAAAAAATAATATCTGAGACTTAAAAGTAGGTCGCGCAGAACAACAATGCATTCTCCAGGACTTATCTTCCATCTGTAGATAGGGAGTGTCTGACAACATCTTATTGCAGGAATTAGCATCATTCATAAACACACACACACACATATGCATGCATTTGCATTGTTTTTAAATTTTGTGTCATGTCATTGCCAGTCACCTTGAGTCCCCAATAACTCAAGGAGCTACGGTGACACAATGGGTTAAACCCTTGTGTTGCTGAACTGCTGACCTGAAGGTTGGCAGTTCGAATCTGTGGGATGGGGTGAGCTCCCGCTGTTACCCCCAGCTTCTGCTAACCTAAGAGTTCGAAAACATGCAAATTTGAGTAGATATATAGGTATCTCTTCAGTGGGAAAAAGCGAGACAATCCAAGCAATATTGCCAGCCACATGACCAGGTGACAACGTAGACTCCTCGGCTTGAAAATGGAGGAAAGCACCTCCCCAGAGCCAGAGATGAGCACCACCTCCGGAAGCCGGAAATGAAAGAAGAAGCCTCTGCCTTTGTTTGTGTGTATCATTGTATATGATTGTAAAGGCACTGAATGTTTGCCTATGTATATAAATGCCGTAATCTGCTCTGAATCCCTTAGGGGAGAAGGGGAAGATAAATAAAGTGTATTATTATTATTATTTGCATTGTGTTTGATTGAATGCCAGCCACCTTGTATTGGGAAAATAAATGAAATAATAAGGAAATGCTCTCTGGCTATGATTATACAAACCTAGTTGGAAGTCTTACCTTTTCTGTGTCTGGACATCCATCACCAAAGAAATGTAACCCTCAATGAGAGAAAAGGAGAAGAAGCGGATGTGACCGGAGTCTTCGCTGTCTGCCCCGGGATCTTTTACTCTGAAGGAAAGAAGTGTTGAAATAAATGCCTTCGTGGCACAAATCAAGACCTTTCTGAGTTGGTTGGGGGTGGGAGATGCCTTCGTATCACTTTGCACTTACAACCAACCCCCTATTTCTTTGCTTTCCCTCTGCTCTGGGCCCAAAAGGACTGGTTCTATTTGTCCAATTATTTTAAGTTGAATTCTGAAGGTATTATATGTCAAGTTTGGTCCAAAGCTATCAAGCCACAAAGGAGCCTTTGTGGTACAAACCATCAAACCAACCAATGAATATACATACGCAAATACATTGACTTACTTATGCAGATAACACTATGTACAAACAAAACCATGACAATTACCCATTGGAGTAAAACATGACATCCATCAGGAGTGTAGCCACGGAAGGAAGGGTGTCCGGGTCCAGGCTGGTGACGCAGAACATGTTACTTGGACTGGAAAGTGGGTGGATGACGGGCCTCTGAACTAAAGGAAAGGGAGAAAAAGATGTGAGACTTCATTCGACTGACTTTCAGAACTTTCAACAGTCCACAGGAAAGGGATCTCGGAGTCTTCGTGGACAACAAGTTGAACATGAGCCGACAATGTGATGCAGCAGCTCAAAAAGCCAATGGAATTTTGGGCTGTATCCAAAGATGCCCGGGCTCGACCTTTGCAGATGAATTAATCTCAATTTTCAAAAACATCCCATGTATACAGAAAACCCGTATGTCAGGAAGAAGGCAAGCCTTTCCACCCATTTCCCTGACATTCTAGCCTTCCACTTATAAGAAATGCAACCATCTTTCGGTCACAGTAAGTATATTATTATAATGTTACAAGACAACGAAATTGGCCTATATACTCAAAGGGCCAGCTTTAGCACAGCAGGTTAATCACCAGCTTCAACCGAAAAGGTTGACAGTTTGAAGCTGGGCCAGGGTGAGCTCCTGTCCTTCAGCTCAGCTCCTCTGCCCACCTAGCAGGTCGAAAACAGCAACGTGAGTAGATAAATAAGAACCGCATTAAGCGGGGAGATATTTTAGACATGGCATTTTGGAGAAAAGTTTACAAACAAAAAAGCTCTTCAGCAAGGAGATGGAGCAACAGCACCCTTTGTAGCCAGAACCGAGCACAGCCTCCAAAAGATGCCGAACGATGAGAAAAAGCTTATGTATACCTCTATCTGTTGTCTGTCTTGTCATTGTATAATTGACATTGAATGTTTGCCATATATTATGTATGTATGTATGTATGACATTTCTATGCTGCCCTTCTCATCCCGAAGGGGACTCAGAGCGGCTTATAAGATATATATACATACAATATATTATATTATTAGCATAGTACAATATCAGTATTAAATATTACTATATTGTACTGTATCATTATATTGTAATATTGTTAGTAACATTACATGTAATATAAATATATAATTATATCATATTATTATTAGTATAATGTTGCATTACATTATAATATCATAAATATTATATGTATATACAATATATTATATATGTGTTCTGCGATCTGCCCTGAGTCCCCTTCGAGGTGAGAAGGGCAGAATATAAATACTGTAAATAAATAAATGTATATGCTGACCCCATGTATAAATTGAGGGAAACTTTTGGAGCCATTATGGTGGATTTTGGTATGACCTGCAGATAAGTTGAGGCTAAAATTTCTAGACTCATATAGATGAGTATATACAGTAAAAGTTTAAAGTTTAAAACAATTTCTGTAAAGATAGTAATAAAAATGGGGTTTTGTTTATTTACAGTATTTTTATTTATTTATTTATTTATGACATGTATATGTCGCCCTTCTTACCCTGAAGGGGACTCAGGGCAGCTTACAAGATATATACGCATACAATATATTATGTTATTAGCATAGTACAATATCAGTATTAAATATTACTATATTGTACTATACCATTATATTATAATATTATTAGTAATATTACAAGTAATATAAATATATAATTATAATATCATATTATTATTATTAGTATTTATACCCCACCCTTCTCACCCAAAAGGGAACTCAAGAGTGGCTTTACAGAACACACATACAGCAAACTTTCAATGCCGATTAACAAGAATTAACAAGAACACACAACACAAAGGACAGGCAACACAAACAGGTAAAGGCAGTTTTTCCCATCTTGTTTCTGGCATCTTGGAGACTGTGCCCAACTCCGGCCATGGGGAGTGTTGTCACTCCATCTTCCATGCCGAGGAGCTTTCCTCCGATCAATGTCCTCAAGGGCGCCTTTATTACCTCCCCGCTAAAAGTGGTACCTATTTTACCTACTCGCATTTCTGCTTTCAACCTGCTTGGTGGACAGGTGAGCTGGGGCTAACGGAGGGTGCTCACCCCAACCTGGGCTCTAACTGCTGACCTTCCAATCTGCAGGATTTTTCTGCAGCACAGCGGTTTAGCCTGCCGTGCTTCTGCAAAGTGCCCACCCATTAAAGGATGCTTCCCATTTCCATCTTCCACTCAAGAAGAAGGAAATGTTACAGGAGAGATGGAAAAGTGATGTTCTGGGCTGAGAACCTCCGCACCATTCACCAACATGCCCAAAGGCCATTCATTCAGATAACCAAAAACAAGAAAAATAATTTTGATATGCTTAAAACAACATAATGAGTGTCAAACAGATTTAAAAAGCTAAAATGGTTGAAAACAATGTGTATAAAGATTTTGGAAATAATCAGCGTAGGGACTCAGGGTTTAACCAAATTGTGTAAATCAGCATTGTACCAATTTGGCACAACTGAGGTGGTCAACATTGATTTGAAGACCACAAAACATTCCCAAACTTTCTTGCATAGTAACCTATTTTAAATTTTCTCCAGCTCCAATTTCCCCCCAAAAGCAAATCCAGTAACAATGATTTTTCATGGCCCCGGAGCAAAGATGAGATTGCTGGAGATATGGAAGGAGGCGAGAAGAAGCATACCCAGTTTGGGCTTCATAAATCCATTGGATATTCCAAGGTTGTCAGCCGCTACTGTCTCCCCATTCACAACCCGGAAGATGGTGAACTCCGAAGCCAGCGTGTGCATCACAAAAGGCAGGTCCCGTTCACGTACCTGGAGTAGGGAAAGGGGGGAAAATTGCTGGTGAATACACGTACTATGTTAATGTGATGACTGGATTAAATGAAATTGTATGATTGGGGTATGGAGAGGGTCCATTAAGGTTTTGCTAGGCTGAAGACAACATCCTAAAAAGGGAACCTGGAAAACTGTATTATGGAGAATAAAAGAGGTGAAGAATTACAAAGTCCATGCATGAAAAGTGCTAATGAGAAATCCAGAAATTGACCTGAGAACTTTTGGTGTAAACAACACATATTTACATAAACAAACACAATGTTACTTTAAGAAGGAAGTCAAACAACCTATCTGTTCCAGAACTGATGAGGCTCCAGCAAGTCTGAGTTGAATGACAGGTTATCTAAAGAACCAAGTATAACAACAACAAAGAATCCTACATAAGGAGACCCTTTTCCTTTCCCAAAGTGCGCCAGATCTGTGAGGAATGCAGCATTTGAACACTCGCCTCTCTTCTCCAGCAGCAGGCCGGTGAAGGGATGGTGGGTATGAATGTGAATGTATGTGAGTAAATGCTGAGTATATTTATTTATTTATGACATTTTTACCCCACCTTTCTCCACCCCGGAGAGGACCAGTTGTGGAAAGATGGAAGAAGTCATGGCCAATTTCAGGACCAGATGAGAAAAGATGGAGGAAGCCATGGCCAATTTCAGGACCAGACGAGGAAAGATGGAAGAAGCCATGGCCAACTTCAGGACCAGACAAGGAAAGATGGAGGAAGCCATGGTCAATTTCAGGACCAGACGAGGAAAGATGGAGGAAGCCGTGGCCAATTTCAGGACCAGTAGAGGAAAGATGGAGGAAGCCATGGCCAATTTCAGAACCAGTTGTGGAAAGATGGAGGAAGCTATGGCCAATTTCAGGACCAGATGAGGAAAGATGGAGGAAGCCATGGCCAATTTCAGGACCAGATGAGGAAAGATGGAGGAAGCCATGGCCAATTTCAGGAGCAGTCAGGGAAAGATGGAAGAAGCCACGGCCAATTTCAGGACCAGTTGTGGAAAAATGGAGGAAGCTATGGCTAATTTCAGGACCAGTTGTGGAAAGATGGAGGAAGTCATGGCCAGAGATGGAGGAAACCATACCCAATGTCAAGGTCCGAGGAAGGAAGATGCAGAAAGTCATGGCTTAGGATAGTGTAGTAGTTATGGATAGATAGATCTGTTTATTGATTAGCCCACTGACCATATCAACAATAAACGGCAAAAACAAAAATGCACAGACAAATAGATACTCATCACTAGTGTATTAGGATGACATGATTTCCTACTTTAGCCTGCACTAGGCACTACAGATCTGGAAACTAAACCTTGTTGCCAGCTGTTAAAACAAAAAAATAGCAGTGTAAAAGCACCCTGATTCTTCCATTGAGAGGAAACGCTTTCTCCCAATGTCTGCTTCCATGGCATTTCCTTACCAAGATGAAGTCTGTCTGATAGGTGGAGAGCATGAACACAGAGATGTTTTGATCCGCCAGAGGTGCAATCACTGACTTGGCAATCTTGGTCACTCCAATGGGCTGGGAGCTGGAGAAGCCACCTCCGCCGGAAATCACGTTGAGCGCCAACCACGTTGCGTCCGCCACGCTCAAATGCTCGGATGCCGGGAGCTCTGGAGGGAGCAAAGATCAAGAATGTCTCAATGGACCAGCAAGAATGAGTTCCACTAAGACCAGGCAGAGCTGGTTTGTAGCCATACTTGTCCCTTGCATCCAGGAATCACCTGGGAGATGGTGCGTATATATGTAAGTTACATCAGTCCTAGATCTAGCTGATAGGAGGTGCACCTATCATCTCCAGATTTAGGTGCAACTCCTATCAGTCCTAGATCTTGCTTGATGGAAAATTGTGATGATTTTTTATACCTCAAACAAGACATAAGGTGGCTATCAGGCCCAGAACAGGCTGTATTTGAATTGCGTTGACTCTATGGATGTGAGTCAACTCCAATTCCCATAATCACCCCCCATCCCACCAGTATTTTAAATTGGGTGGTGATGGGTATGCGAGCCAAGTTTGGTCCAGATTGATAGTTGGGGATATTCACTTAGCTCTCTCGATGTGGATGGACTACAACTCCCATCATCCTCTATCATAGTGGTTCTTAAGCTTCCTCATGTCGCGGCCCTTTAATACATTTCCTCATGTTGTGATGATCCCCAACCATAACATTATTTTTGTTGATACTTCATAACTGTAATTTTGCTACTCTTATGTAACCCTCGGTGGCGAAGTGGGTTACATGGCTGAGCTGCTGAACTTGTTGACTGAAAGATCGCAGTTCGAATCCGGGGAGCGGGGTGAGAGTCTGCTGCTAGCCCCAGCTTCTGCCAACCTAGCAGTTCGAAAACATGCAAATGTGAGCAGATGAATAGGTACTGCTTCTGTGGGAAGGTAATGGCCCTCCATGCAGTCATGCTGGCCACATAACCTAGGTGGTGTCTACAGACAATGCTGGCTCTTCGGCTTAGAAATGGAGATGAGCACCAACCCCCAGTCGGACACTGGGGGTTGTCAGGAGAAAACCAATGTATCATAATGTAAATATCTGATATCCAGGATGTATTTCCATTCACTGGATCAAATTTGGCACAAATACCTGATGCGCCCAAATTTTAATACCGATGGGGTTTGGGGAGGATTGATTTTGACATTTGGTAGTTGTAGTTGCTGGGATTTATAGTTCATCTACAATCAAAGAGCATTCTGAACTCCACCAATGATGGAATTGAACCAATACAGCACTGCTGGTCACAGCTGACCTCCATTTGGAGCGCTCACAGGCCAGGGCTTCCCAGTTCTCAGCGTCTATGCTAGACATTTTGGGAGTTGTAGTTGCTGGGATTTATAGTTCACCTACAATCAAAGAGCATTCTGAACCCCACCAATTCCAATGATGGAATTGAACCAAACTTAGCACACTGAACTCCCACGACCAACAGAAAATACTGGATGGGTTTGCTGGGCATTGACCTTGAATTTTGAAGTTGTAGTTCACCTACATACAGAGAACACTGTGGACTCAAACAATGATGGATCTGGACCAAACTTGGCACAAATACTCAGTATGCACAAATGTGAACATGGGTGGAGTTTGGGAAAAATAGAGCTTGACATTTGGGAGTTGTAGTTGCTGGGATTGATAGTTCACCTATAGTCAAAGAGCATTCTGAAACCCACCAATGATAGAATTGGGCCAAACTTCCAACAGAGAATCCCCAAGACCAACAGAAAATACTGTGTTTCCTGATGGTCTTTGCTGACCCCCAGGTTGTGAAACGCTGCTCTATCAATTCCCCTCTAAAACCTGTCAGTATGTTGTTGGATCATGACAAGTATATGTGTCAAATGTGATTCAGATCCATCAAACCTTGTAGGAGTCTTTGTGGATCAAACATAAACATACTTCAACTTGTATGTACAGAGAAGATGATTAGGTACAATGATTGCATAAGAGGCCACTTCAACTGGCATAGCATGGCCTAGGAATAATACAGTCCTGTGCTTAGCAATCGACATAGGCGTTCCTGATCTTAAAATTGCAAAGAGAGATTTCCCTCCTCTCTTTATCCCTAGAACAAGAGCCACGAATTCATGCTTCACAGCGTTAGAAGTTGAAAAACCAAGTATATTTTTAGTTGCCACTTGATTACATAAGCTTCATTATGTAACAAACCCTAGAGTTATGGGCACTTTGTTTGCTCCGCTCCCGGCATGGCAGCTTCACAGCCCAGCAAATCCCTTTTCCGAAACAAAAACAACCTCTCAATCGTATGAGACAAGGAATTGCCATTGGAAAAGTCAGGATACATTAGATACAAATGTGCACATGAGTCTTAATATACCGATATGTGCAAGGGCATGCACACTTTCTTTGCTTTTGCCTAGAACAGTGTTTCTCAACTTGGGGAGGGGGTCACGAGGGGGTTTCAGAGGGGTCGCCAAAGACTATCAGAAAACATATATTTCTGATAGGCTTTGGAACTCCTTTGGCAGACAAGGCTGAAGATCTCTCTGCCTGTCCTTCTCTTCCTTTCTGGAAACAGATGGCAAATCCTCCCACCAAAAGCCCTCCTCCGCTGTGATTGGCCGGCCTCTCAGCTAAGGGGAGGGCTGTTTTTGAGACTCCAAACAGGGAGGAGAGAGCAGGCATGCTCTGTGCATGGCAGTATGGTGCGCATGTGCAGGAGAGGGAGAGCGTTCATGGCTGGAGGGAGGCTCATGCCAACGAATCCCTTCAAGGCACGGGGTTTCTGTGTGGGAAGTTTGGCTTAATTCTATTGTTGGTGGGGTTCAGAATGCTCTTTGATTGTAGGTGAACTATAAATCCCAGCAACTGCAACTCCCAAATGTCAACATTTGGGCATATTGAGTATCCGTGCCAATTTTGGTCCAGATCTGGATATAGGTAAAATACAACTCCAAAACTTAAGGTCAATGCCCACGAAACCCTTCCGATATTTTCTGTTCATCATGGGAGTTCTGTGTGACAAATTTGGTTCAATTCCATCATTGGTGGGATTCAGAATGCTCTTTGATTGTAGGTGAATTATAAATCCCAGCAACTACAACTCCCAAATGTCTGGCATAGACACTGAGAACTGGGAAGCCCTGGCCTGTGAGTGCTCCAAATGGAGGTCAGCTGTGACCAGCAGTGCTGTAGAATTTGAAGAGGCACAAATGGAGGCCGAAAGAGTGAAACGTGCCAAGAGAAAGACGGGTCAAGCCAACCCCAACAGGGACCACCTTCCACCTGGAAACCAATGCCCTCATTGCGGGAGACGATGCAGATCAAGAATAAGCCTCCATAGTCACCTACGGACACACTCTGGAGGATTAGCTTACTCGGACAACGAGGGATCACCTAAGTAAGTAAGTTGAACCACAACTCCCAAACTCAAGATCAATGCCCACCAAACCCTTTCAGTATTTTCTGTTCATTATTTGGGCCAAGTTTGGTTCAATTCCATTGTTGGTGAAGTTCAGAATGCTCTTTGATTATAAGTGATCTATAAATCCCAGCAACTACAACTCCCAAATGACAAAACCAATCTCCCTCAACCTCATCAGTATTCAAATTTGGGTGTATCGGGTATTTGTGCTAAATTTGGTCCAGTGAATGGAAATACATCCTGCATCTCAGATATTTACATTTTGATTGATAACAGTAGCAAAATTACGGTTATGACATAGCAACGAAAATAATTTTATTGTTGGGGTTCACCACAACATGAGGATCTGTATTAAGGGGTCGCGCCATTAGGAAGGTTGAGAAGCACTGACCTAGAAAGAGGCATTATCCTGGCCCAACATAGAAATTCCAACAGGATTAAATTTGTCCCCCACTCCCACCACTGGGACATACACAACAAAAGATACAAAAGTACATATTTTGTTGTGTATGACCCAGTGGTGGGAGTGGGGGACAAACAGATACCAATGGATCCAGATGCCTGGTATTTCAAACAGGCCACTGGACTATCTGCTGGACACAGCTATCCAAGTCTGTAGGCTTCTGGCATGGGATGGACTGCACCTCACAGAAGTTGGAAGGAATGTTTTCACCGAGAGACTTGCAAACCTGATCAGGTGGACTTTAAACTAAGTTGTGCAGGGGAAGGTGACAATATCCTTGGGAACAGTCATTTATCAAGGTCGGAAGGGAACAGTCCAAAGGATAGAGAGAGGGTTGGACAAACAGAATAAGTACCAAGTGGCAAGAGGACAAAAAACCCAAATAAACAGCTACGGGGAAGATTCCATGGGCTTAGAGGTCTCTACATGCATGCATGGGAAATAAACAAGATGAACTTGAACTTTTAACAGAACAAAACAGTTACGATGTAATAGGCATAACTGAAACCTGGTGGGATGAGTCCTATAAGTGGAATGTAGTAATGGAGGGGTATAACTTCAGAGAAATAGACCAAACCGGAGATATCTGTCGTCCCAAGTCTGGGGACATGGGATGACAGATATCATCCCCACCAATCCTCCGTGTTGTGGTAGTCTCTGTGACATGGGTCCTACTGGACAATTGTCTTCTGGAGTGATATAAACTGAGGAGACAGGGCAATCGGAAAAGGAAGTGGGGAGAGGAAGGGGTTTTAAGCAAAGGCTGGATTGTCTTCTTCCGGGAGTGCTTTGATTGTGCTTTTCCTGCATGGTAGAAGGGGGCTGGACAGGATGGTCCTTGTGGTCTCTTTCGGGTCTACAATTCTAATAAACAGAATTATATTATGGAGATGTGCTGCAACAACTCACCAAGAAACCCTTCTTCATCCACTATGATTGTATAGTCCTCGGGTGTCTCGGTCAGACTGAAGAATTTGCATCTAAAATAGAGAGAAAACACTCCGGTTTATTCACTGGCTGAGCAGTAATGTCCTCTGCAAACGTAGTCTAACATCAAACCCAGCGAATTAGGAGACAATTCCTTAGAGAAGTGGTGGAGTCTCTTCTCTGGACATCAGTTACCTAATGTAGGAATCCTGCATTGGGCAGAGAGATGGACTTTGTGGCTCATGAGCCCCCTTCCACCTCTGTGCTTGTAGAAGACACATTCACAAAGAAAAGTATCCTCCTTAAAACAGGACACATGGCCATCCTAAGAATCTTCGTGTCATCTTCACCAAACCATGCATACATTTTGGGGACAGGTTGGCTTCCCTTATCTCAGTGGTTCCCAACTTTCTTTTGACCAGGGACCACTTGACCAGAGAGCATTTGATCAGGGACCACTCTCCAACATTAGTACCAACCTCACAGAAAATATCTAAGACAAGGCCCAAACCTCACAGAAAACATCTAGGACAAGGTCCCAACCTCACAGAAAACATCTAGGAGAAGGCTCCAACCTCACAGAAAACATCTAGGACAAGGTCCCAGCCTCACAGAAAACATCTAGGGCAAGGCCCCAACCTCACAGAAAACATCTAGAGCAAGGCCCCAACCTCACAGAAAACATCTAGAGCAAGGTTCCAATCTCACAGAAAACATCTAGGACAAGGTCCCAACCTCACAGAAAACATCTAGTGCAAGGTCCCAACTTCATAGAAAACATCTAGGGCAAGGCCCCAACCTCACAGAAAACATCTCGGACAAGGCCCCTAACTTTATTCAACATTTATTCAGAATCCCAGAGGAACTGGCCATGCGATTCCGCCGGAGCAAAAACAACCGAGCCTGTTGTGGCACATCAAAACACTAACAAGTTTTATTTGGCCTCCAACTTTGGGGGCTGCGCTCATTGCCAAGGAAAACGCACCAGTCTTTGAAGTGCCACAAGGGTCTCCGAAAATGTTTTCAAATGGTTTGTTTGTCGTTTGCATGCGGCAGAAGCCTTCTTGCTGAGTTTCTCGTAGTTTGACCCAGTCGTTCCCCAGTTTGGGGAAGATCCAAGACTTTGGACGCGCCTCGGTCACCACCTCGGTGCAAATCCCTCCATTCCGGGGAGGACTTGACCCTTTCACCTCTTCCTTAATGGTCTTGTTTTCCAGAGGAAAGCAAAGGACAGGTTGTGCAATAAGGCATTTCTTGGTCTGTCCTTTGTTTTTTCTTCCCCCCTCCAGAGTCCAGAATAAACTTATTCATGGCATGGTTTCTTAGGTCAGTTTGCATGAAGGCTTATGTAAATGGAGGAGTCAGAATAGGTTAAGTGTATGTCAGGGTGGTGGTCCGGCGGAGAGCAAGGGAGGAGCGGGAGGAAGTGGTTATTGCAAAGCTGGTCAAATATGTACTTTGCTTGATGTGTTTTGGACCTGGGAGATGAACCGCTTCGCTTGCTTTCCCTCATACATCTTTTCACTTCTTTTTTTCTCTCTCTTTTCTTTCTTTTCCCTTCTTTTACTTTCTTTCCTCCCTTCCTTCATCCCTTCTTTCTTCCCTTACTTTTTCTTCCCTTCTTTCTCCTTCCTCCCCTCCCCTTTCCTTTGTCTTCTTTTTCTTGGAAGTCACAGTCTCTCAGCCTCAGAGCAAGGCCCACACACACACACACAAAGTGAGAAGTCTGCGGGTGATTGCAGGGAATTGCAGGCAGACAAGGCTGATGTTTTGGATTCTTCAGCACATTCCCAGGCAATAGGGGAAAGTGAAAATACCTGTTCCCTTGAGAAAAGGCCTTGGAAGGAGGGGGAAGTTTTCCAGGGAGAATAGATTAGACCTGAGAATGCAGGGAGTGAAAAACCAGCAATCTAGATATTCCCAGAGGATCCAAGATGAGCCCTTGAAGTCCAGATGTGTCAGGCATGATGTCATGGGTGCCTTAGGCCCAAATCTTCATTAAATCATTTGCTTCCTTATGGGGTGGATGTCCCAACTATCACCTTCAGGGCTGCGTTTTTTGCCTAATTTTATCAACTAGTAGCTAACTCTTTCTATCTATACAGTGCCCTCTTCTGGTTGCATATGAGCACTACATACATACTGACAGGTCAGTAGCTAATCCTGTCTATCTATTTACCGCCATCTGCTGGTGGCACCTGAGTGTTACATATATATTTCTTTACTTTTGGGGATCCTTTGCCCCAAAATAGTGTGGGTTTTGTAATTGAAACTCTACAACTATTTACGTTGGGTAAAGAAAGCTCTGCATGCCAAATGTGGTCCATACCCATCAAGCCACACAGGAGCCTTTGTGCTACAAACAAAGCAACCATAACATACATAAAGGGTAAAAGTTTCCCCTTGACATTAAGTCTAGTTGTGACCGACTCTGGGGAGTGGTGCTCACGTCCATTTCTAAGCCGAAGAGCCGRTGTTGTCCGTAGACACCTCCAAGGTCATGTGGCCAGCATGACTGSATAATCCTYGGTTACCTTCCCGCAGWAGTGTACCTATCRATTTATTTATTTACTTATTTACTTTGCTTATATACCACTGTTCTCAGCCCGGGGGCGACTCACAGCRGTGATTTACTCACATTTGCATGTTTTTGAACTGCTAGGTTGGCAGAAGCTGAGCCTAACAGCGGGAGCTCACCCCACTCCCCGGATTCGAACTGCCAACCTTTCRGTCAGCAAGTTCAGCAGCTCAGCAGTTAACCGCTGCACCACACACATACATCTTAGATAGATAGATAGATAGATAGATAGATAGATAGATAGATAGATAGATAGAWGAGAGAGAGAGATTATTATGAGTAGGCAGAGTGTGGGCTGGAGGGTTTTGAAAATAGAGATGCCCATTAGATTTGATGGATGGTTTATTCGTGTTTTTTTTAAAGAGAAGCTTTCCTTGCAAGGAGACAAACAGCAAGCCCATGCCACAGAACTGCTGACAGACATGCTCTCCCAGTGAAAAAAGTACACAAACAATGAGAGATAAAGCTAAACCATATGCTCCGCTCTGCAAGTCACGATGGAATGCCACAGCGCGAGCCGAGAGTTCTTGGCTTTTAGAAAAAACAGGAGGTAGAGGGGGATCAGCCCTGGTGACCATAAAACCTCAGGTTGTGCAACTCTCATGCATAGCCGGTCAGCTATTTTGTTTGCCTATATCGACTGGCAACCTTTTTATTATTATTGAAATCATTGCCGATGTTCAGGGAGCAATTAGGTCTGGGGGACCGCAGGGACGCCAAGGCCGTGAACCTCCTTTCCTGCCAAAAGGACAGAAAGAGAATTGGTTTCTCGGCCCAAACGCTTTGCAACAGAGCCCACACTCGAGCCATAAAAAGCAGAAGTAGCTAAGGGATTGCAGCTGATTACCGTAGGGAACAGGTTTTTTTGTTCCTGGGTTGTAAATACCATTTCCTAATTCAGCGTTTCTCAACCTGGGGCAGTCGTGAATGAGTTTCAGAGGGATCGCCAAAGAGCATGAAAAAACATATATTTCTGATGGTCTTAGGAACCCCTTTGGCAGAGAAGGCTGAAGATCTCTCTGCCTGTTCTTCTCTTCCTTTTTGGAAACAGACAAGGAATCCTCCCACCAAAGCCCTCCTTCACTGTGATTGGACGGGCTCTCAGCCAAGGGGAGGGCTGTTTCTGAGACTCCAAGTGCGAAGGGGAGAGCAGGCATACTCAGCACAATGCAGTGTGGTGTGAATGTGCAGGCGAGGGAGAGCATGTGAGCCTGGAGGGAGGCTCGCGTCACCAAGTCCCTTCAAGGCATGGGGGTTCTGTGTGGGAAGTTTGGCCCAATTCTATCATCGGCAGGGTTCAGAATGTTCTTGGATTCTAAGTGAACTATAAATCCCAGCAACCACAACTCCCAAATATCAAAGTCTATTTTCCTCAAACACTACCAGTGTCCACATTTGGGCATATTGAGTATTCATGCCAAGTTTGGTCCAGATCCATCATTGTTTGAGTCCACTGTGGTCTCTGGATGTAGGTGAACTACAAATCTCAAACTCAAGGTCAATGCCCACCAAACCCATCCAGTATTTTCTGTTGGTTGTGGGAATTCTGTGTGCCAAGTTTGGTTCAATTCCATTGTTGGTGGAGTTCAGAATGCTCTTTGGTTGTAGGTGAACTACAAATCCCAGCAACTACAACTCCCAAATGACAAAATCAATCCTTCCCTCAACCCCACCAGTATTCAAATTTGGGTGTATCGGGTTTTTGTACCAATTTTGGTCCAGTGAATGATAATACATCTTGCATATCAGATATTTACCTTACAACTCACAACAGCAGCAAAATTACAGTTATGTAGTAGCAACAAAAATAATGTTATGGTTGGGGATCACCACAACATGAGGAACTGTATTAAGGGCTCGCAGCATTAGAAAGGTTGAAAACCACTGCCATAGAGTCTCAAAGAATTCCACTTCAACAGAAACAAAGTTTCTGGAGGATAACAACTACTTTCAAAGTAAGCACCACACAATTAAAGAGGAAATAACATTTTTGAACCAGGAACAGATTTTTTTCCTCAAATCGTGTTACATAGTGTAATTTTACTGTTTTGTTCAGAGAACCCCAAAAACACCTAAACTAGAAGCCTTCCATTCAGGGACAATTCCATCCTAGATTTTATGTGTTTCCTCCACCACAGACATCCCAGTGTTTCTGACTCTCTCCATTGGTGTGGAATTTGCATGACTCTGCCCACTGCCTCTCCCTTAACCCTTTCCTACGGCACACAGGAAACACAGGGTCCTTCCACACAATCTTATAATCCAGAATATCAAGGTAGAATAACCCACAATATCTGCTTTCAACTGGGTTCTCTGAGTCCACACTTCCATATATCCCAGATCAAAGCAGATAGTGTGGGATTTTATTCAGCTGGGTGGAAGGGGCCACAGAGGCACTGATCAGGAACTGCTCACACGGGAGGTGTTTGGGGACTTGACTCAACATGATGGAAGTTGAAGTTCACCCTGCACCAAGACGGAGCACTGTCACCGTCCACAGACCCGGACCAAATTTGGAACATAGAACCCCCATGACCAAGGCAAAATACTGGAAAGGTATGGGAGGAAATCATCTTGGTTTATAGGAGTTGTAGGCACTGGGATTTATAGTTCACCTGCAATCAAAGAGTACTCTCAACCTCACCAATGGTGGACAGCAAACTTAATGCTTAGACCATATAGCATTCACACTCTATATCTATATATACAGATGCACACAATGTATCTTATCTATCTATCCATCCATCCATACACACACTGTATATATACATGTATATATGTGCCTATGTGTATAATACACACACCATATGGTGATTTATTAATACTTAGACCATACAACATTCACACTCTATATCTATATATACAAATGCACACAATGTATGTATGTATGTATCCATCAAGCCATCCATCCACACACACACTGTATATATACATGTATATGTGTGCCTGTGTGTACAATACACACATTATACGGTTGTTTATTAATGTTTAGACCATATAGCATTCACACTCTCTGTATCTATATATACACACACAATGTATGTATGTATGTATGTATGTATGTATGTATGTATCTATCTATCTATCTATATGTATGTATTTATATACAGATGCACACACTGTATGTATGTACCCATCCATCCACACACACACTGTAATATACATGTACTGTATATGTATACCTGTGTGTATAATATACATCCCATATGGTGGTTTATTAATGTTTAGTCCACAAGATATTCATATTATCTCTCTCTCTCTCTACACACACACCCCGTGTGTGTGTGTGTGTGTGTATGTGTGTGTGCACATGCTGTATTGGAAAATTACTGCCTTTACAAATGGCATAGTGATGTTTATATCGCTGTGTGTGTGTCTGTTTGCCTGTATGTATATATAGATATACAAACACACATATATATGCTAACAAACACTCCCACCCCTTCCCACCAGAGGCCTTTCTCTCTGCTGGCCTCTGGGCTGCTGGTCTTTGTTGTCAGTCCTGCTTTCTCTCTTTTTCTTTTGGGGAGGGAAGGGGGGGGGTCCCTTTTTCTCCAGACTTCAAACCCCAGGGTCTATTGATTCAAGGCTAAACTTAGCCTGGCAAGTTGGGCTAGAAAGAGCTTAACACCTGTCTTCATGCATCAATACCTCTAGAAATGGAAGAGCAAGAAAAAGGGGGTGTGTTGAAGGAGGAAAAAAACGCTCCTATCTGGATGGCTGTGTACAATGAAATGAAAGCAAACCCTGGGGGAGACCACAAACACACACATACCCCATCCCATATATATATATATATATATATATATATATACACACACACACACACACACACACACACACACACACACACACACACACACATACACATTCAATCACATTGACTTGTTCTGTATGCAAATAGCCCTATGGTCTAAGCATGAATAAATGATGAGAGCTGTAGTTCACCTACAATCAAAGAGCACTGTAAACCCCACTAAGACTGGATCGGGACCACGCTTTCCATATAAACCCACCACGACCAACATTACATACCAGCTTGTAATTTACCCAGTATATATACTAGTATATGGCTTTTATATATACTCTCTCATATAGACATACACATAGTGTGTATACACACACACACAAATATATAAGCTAGTATATATATACACAAACAAATATATAAGCTAGTGTATATATACACATACAGACATACATGTCTGTATATACATATACTAGTATATAAGCTAGATATACACATACACAGTGAACATGCACACACGCATATAACACACAAACATATATAACACACATACAGACATACACACACACATATATATCAGTATATAAGTTAGTATATATACACACATACAGGCATACACATAATGCATATATATACACACACACACACACACATACATAGTAGTATATATAGTAGTATATACATATATATACACATACATATAGCATATATATACACACACTAGTATGTAAGCTAGTGTGTATATATATTAGTATATATGCTAGTCTATATATATACAAATACATATAGTATATATGCACTAGTATATAAGCTGGTATATATATATACACACACACACACATAGCAAATATATATACACAAGTTTGTAAGTTTATATACATACACACATACACATAGTATATATATACCAGTATATAAGCTAATACACACACACACAGTACATAGCATATATATACACACACACACACACACACTAGTATATAAGCTAGTATACATACACATATACCATATATACATACACTAGCTTACATAGTAAACATATACATACACTAGTATACATATATACAAAATATATAGTATTTGTGATATTATTGTATGTCCATCAAGGCTGTGTGTGTGTACATATAGAGTATACATATGCATAATATAGTATACACATATACATATATCGTACACAGATATATAGAACACACATATACATACGTATATAGTATACATATACAGATATATGGTATATATATAGTATACATACACACATATATATAGTATATATATAGTGCACACACATACATACGTATATAGTATACATATACAGGTATATATGGTATACATATAGTATACACATATACCTATGTATATAGGATATAAGTATACATATACAGATATATATATATATATAGAGAGAGAGAGAGAGAGAGAGAGAGAGTATACATATAGTGTACACATATACATATACTTTATACATATACTAGCACATATATAGTATCTATATATACATACCTACATTTATGGAAAGGGGAGATAGGTGGGGAGCTTGGTGTGCCTGCTGCCCGTGCACGCCCCCCTCCCGACACGTGTCTTGCTTGGCCCGCGTTCAGACGTGCTTACCTGGTCCTGGAGGGCAGGAAGGCCAGCTTGATGAGCCCATAGGTGAAGAAGGGGAGGCCTTCCTTGCTCACGCTGGCCACTTTGAGCCGGTGCTCCAAAATGTGCAGCTCCATCTTTCCTCCTTTTTCTCATTTGTGGTTCATGGGCTCCAATGGCCTTTTTTTGGTGCCTTTCGCCTTTGGGAAAAACAAGTCAAGGAGGAAGGGAGGAAACTGCCCTCTCTCTCTCTCTCTCTCTCTCTCTCTCTCTCTGGACTCTTTGGGTCAGCCTTTTCCCCTCCTGCTTCCCCTAAAGAACAGGAGGAGGAGGGTCATGAAGGAAGGGAAAGAACTTGCATTCTCCTTGGGAGAGGGAATGGCAAAGTAGAGAGAGAGAGAGAGAGGGAAAGAAAGAAAGAAAGAGGAGAGTTGGGCAGCAAAAAAAAGAGAAGAAGGCAGCTCTCCAATGAAACAAACAACTTGCCACTCAAAGGGGCGGCCAGGGCGCATGCGCAGAGGGGCGTTGCATCCTGGGAGGCGTAGTCCAAGCAGGCAGGGCTCCAATGGCTCCCAACTTGTTTATCGTTGGTGGTGTTTCTTTCAAGGCATGTCGTGCAAATACAGTGTAGCCCCTCAATTCAGATGCAACAAAATACAATGCATCCCATCAGTTCCAGAACATAAAAWACAATATATCCCATCATTCGGATGCATCCAAATATGTATCCTATCAGTTCAAAACACAATATATCCCATCATTCGGATGCATCAAAATATGTATCCTATGACTTCAAAACGCAATGTATCCCATCATTCAGATACATCCAAATATGTATYCTATGACTTCAAAACACAATGTATCCCATCATTCGGATGCATCAAAATATGTATCCTATCAGTTCAAAACACAATGTATCCCATCATTCAGATACATCAAATGTATCCTATGACTTCAAAACACAATGTATCCCATCATTCGGATGCATCAAAATATGTATCCAATCAGTTCAAAACACAATGTATCCCATCATTCAGATACATCAAAATCTGTATCCTATGACTTCAAAACACAATGTATCCCATCATTCGGATGCATCAAAATATGTATCCTATCAGTTCAAAACACAGTGTATCCCATCATTCAGATACATCAAATGTATCCTATGACTTCAAAACACAATGTATCCCATCATTCAGATACATCAAAATATGTACCCTATGACTTCAAAACACAATGTATCCCATCATTCGGATACATCAAAATATGTATTCTATGACTTCAAAACACATTGTATCCCATCATTCAGATACATCAAAATATGTATCCTATCAGTTCAAAACAATGTATCCCATCATTCGGATGCATCAAAATATGTATTCTATCAGTTCAAAACACAATGTATCCCATAATTCGGATGCATCAAAATACAATGTATTTGATCAGTTCCAGTACATAAAATATAATCTATCCCATCATTTAGAAACAACAAAATATGTATCCTATTAGTTCAAAACACAATGTATCCTATCATTTGGATACATCAAAATATGTATCCTATCACTTCAAAACACATTGTATCCCATCATTCGGATGCATCAAAATATGTACCCTATGACTTCAAAACACAATGTATCCCATCATTCAGATACATCAAAATATGTATCCTATCAGTTCGAAACACAATGTATCCCATCATTCAGATACATCAAAATATGTATCCTATCAGTTCAAAACACAATGTATCCCATCATTCAGATACATCAAAAATGTATCCTATCAATTCAAAACACAATGTATCCCATCATTCAGATACATCAAAATATGTATCCTATCAATTCAAAACACAATGTATCCCATCATTCAGATACATCAAAAATGTATCCTATGACTTTGAAACACAATTTATCCCATCATTCCGATACATCAAAAATGTATCCTATCAATTCAAAACACAATGTATCCCATCATTCGGATACATCAAAATATGTACCCTATGACTTCAAAACACAATGTATCCCATCATTCCGATACACCAAAATATGTATCCTATGGCTTCAAAACACAATGTATCCCATCATTTGGATGCATCAAAATATGTATCCTATCAGTTCAAAACACAATGTATCCCATCATTCAGATACATCAAAAATGTATCCTATCAATTCAAAACACAATGTATCCCATCATTCAGACACATCAAAATATGTATCCTATCAGTTCAAAACACAATGTATTTCATTATTCCGAGACATCAAATTACAATGTATCCCATCATTCAGATACATCAAAATTCAGTGTATCCCAGCAGTTCAAAGCACAATGTAGCCCATCAGTTAAAATGCATGAAAATACAATGTATCTCATCATTCAAATACACCAAAATAAATATATCCCATCAGTTCAAAACACAATGTATCTCATCATCCAGATACATTAAAATACAATGATTCCCATCAGGTCAAATGCATTAAATACAATGATTCCCATCAGTTCAAATGCATTAAATACAATGTATCCCATCATTCAGATACACCAAAACACAATGTATCTCATCATTCAGATACATCAAAATACATTGTATCCCATCACTTCAGATACAATAAAATACAATGTATCCCATCAATTCAGACACATCCAAATACATTGTATCCCATCCATCATTCACATACATCAGAATTCAATGTATTCGATCAGTTCCAGTACATAAAATACAATGTATCCCATTATTTGGATACATCAAAATATGTATCCCATCAGTTCAAAACACAATGTAGCCCATCATTCAGATACATCAAAATGTGTCTTCTCCATTCAAATACATTAATATACAAGGTATCCCTTCAGTTCAAATGCATGAAAATTCAATGTATTCCATCAGTTCAAAGTACATGTATTTATTTAATCTATTTAATTCCTGCCTTTCTAGGGACTCAATGTGGCTAACAATAAATGGGATATCATGCAAGTCTAAGGGCATCAAAATATGAGAATAATATTTTTAAATAATAATAAAATCTGTAATATAAAATTGTCTAGAGATGTCATTGGGATATCATTTTAAATATCCCTAATGTGAGATTCACTGTTTTCAGTATTGTTCAATCCTTGGTGAGTGACTCAGGAAAGACTGAAGACAAGACCTTATCGAACTGATTGTCAGGACATGACAAACACAACTTCAGAGATACTTGGGGTTAATGGAAAATCCATAGGGAGGAACTGCCAGATAAGATGGCTCGAAATAATTGAATCCCAGAGTTGGAAGGGACCTCTAAAGGCCATCTGGTCCAATCCTTTTTTCCCAGGCAAAAAGACACAACCTGATGTCTCCTGACAGATGGTCATCCAGCCTGTGTTTCAGCACTTCCATGGGGTCCTAGAGTTGGAAGGGACCCCAAAGGGGCATGTAGTTCAAACCCTTTTGGCCAGGCAAAAAGTCACAATTTGATCCCTTCTGACAGATGGCCATTCAGTCTGTGTTTCAACACTTAGGCCGCTTTGAGTCCCCTTCAGAAGAGAAAAAGTGGAGTATAAATATAATAATAATAATAATAATAATAATAATAATAATAATAATAATAATAATTCCATAGAGTCCTAGAGCTGGAAGGGACCCCAAAGGCCATCTAGTTCAACTGTTTTCCCCAAGCAAAAACACAATCCAATACCTCCTGACAGATCGCCATCCAACCTGTGTTTAAACACTTAGGCCCTTTTGAGTCTCCTTCGGGAGAGATAAAATGGGGTATAAGTAAATATAATAATAATAATAATAATGCCATAGAGTCCTAGAGCTGGAAAGGACCCCCCAAGAGGCATCTAGTCCAACCCCATTTTCCTAGGCAAATAATCTGATGCCTCCTGGCAGATGGTCATCCAGCCTGTGTTTGAACACTTCCATAGAATCCTAGAGTTGGAAGGACCCTCTAAGGCCATCCAGTCCAATTCTCTTTGGCCAGAAAAAAAGACACAACCCGATCCCTCATCACAGATGTCCCTCCAGCCTGCATTTCAATATCAGCGAATTTGAGTCTTCTTCAGGAAAAATAAAGCAGGGTATAAAAATATAGTAGTAGTAGTAGTAACAACAACAACAACAACAATTCCATAGAGTCCTAGAGCTGGAAGAGACCCCAAAGGCCATCCAGTTTGAACCTTTTTTCCCAGGCAAAAAGACACAATCTGATCCCTCCTGACAAATGGCCATCTATCTTGTGACTAAACACGTCCATAGAATCCTAGAATGGAAGAGATCCCAAGGGGCATCTAGTCCAACTCCTTTTTCCTAGGCAAAAGGCACAATCTGATCCCTCTTGACAGATGGCCATCCAGCTTGTGTCTAAACACGTCCATAGAATCCTAGAATGGAAAAGACACCAAGGGGCATCTAGTCCAACTCCTTTTTCCCAGACAAAAAAACACAACCTGATCCCTCCTGACAGATGGCCATCCAGCCTGTGTTTCAGCACTTCCACGGAGTCCTAGAGTTGGAAGGCACCCCCAAGGGGCATCTAGTGCAATCCCTTTTTCCTAGGCAAAAAGGCACAATCCAATCCCTCCTGACAGATGGCCATCCAACCTGCATCTAAACATTTTCATAGAGTCCTAGAATTGGAAGGAATCCCCTAAGGCCATCTACTCCAACCTTTTTTTCCTAGGCAAAAAATACAATCTGATCCCTCCTGACAGATGGCCATCTAGCAGGCACAGTGGAAGCTTGCTCTGGGCCTCAATGGGTGAAGTTTTTTAGTCCAACACCTGCCATTATTTTAAGCTGGGTAATGAAGTCTTTGTGTGCTATATTTGGTCCTGATCCATCCAGCCATGAAGGAGCCTTTGTGGCACAACCCAACCAACCAACATACATACATATATGCATAGAGCAGCTACAAAAGTCAATGAGATTTTAGACTCTCCATGGAAGTGTTTGAGGCCTTCAAACAGAGGGAACTCCTTGGGAAACGATGAGCCACCGCTCACGCTGGGCAATCTATAACAAAGGAGAAGTGCCTTTGTCTGCAAGGTTAAGAAAAATGATAGCATTGTGAAAAAGTACCTTGATGTTGATTGTCTGCCTATCCTCGTCTCTTATCTTGGGTAGTATTCTACCTTGAGATGGATTTCCTACAGATAATAGTTGGGGAAATCCTTTCTTTTGCCCCAGTTGCTTCAAATCATTGGTAGAGTGAAGAATAGACTATCAATGCAAAGCTTATCTCAACATGTCACATAAGACTGTAGTATTTACTTAGTGTCAAACAGCTGGGCAAAGTCAGACCCAGAGAGTGGCCAGGCTAGAACGTCTCCAAGGTTCCTAAACTAAGGCAAATGTTGCACAATTTTCGCAGTTCAGGGATTTTGCATCTTCCGGCTCCACCATTGAAGCATTGTGAAAGTTTGATTGTAACACTCTGAATCCCCCAACCAGTGTGGCCAGTGCTTATCATAACTGGGAGGTTCTGGAAACAGCTAGTTTATAGTCTGAACAAGAACATTGCCTTGAGG